TCATCATCATCGTCATCATCATCATCGTCATCATCATCATCGTCATCATCATCATCGTCATCGCCATCGTCATTATCATCTCTCTCCGTCCATCTCTTCCGCTCTCCCTGCCCCCTATCATTCGCTTGCTTCTCTCTCTCTCTCTCTCTTGTGTGTAGGTGGCGCCACAGTTTGTCCAACGAGATCTCTGTGCATTTGCTTCTGGTCATCATCATCATTATCATCATGATCATCATGGTCCTCATGATCATCACCACCATCATCATCATATCTCTCCGTCCCTCCTTTCAGCTCCCCCTGTCTGCCTATCAGGCGCTTGCCTCTCTTTCTTTCTCTCTCTCTCTCTCTCGTTCTCTCTCTCTCTCTCTTGTGTAGATTGCGTCGCAGTTTTGGCCAATGATACTTCTGTGCATTTGCGTATGATTATCATCATGGTCATCATGATCATCACCATCACCATCATGCATCATCATCATCATCATCATTCATCCTTCTCCCATCCAACCATCCGCTCGCCCTGTCTCCCTCTCCCGCTCTCCCTCGCTCTTGCTCGCGTATAATAAATAATAGATTCCTCCTCCTCCTCCTCTTCATTCTCCTCCTCCTCCTCCTCCTCATCATCATCATCCTCATCATCTCTCGCGCCCTTGCTTCCGCTCTCCCTGTCTCCCTATCCCTCGCTTCCTCGTTGTTGCTTCTCTCTCTCGTTCTCCCTCTCTCTCTCTCTCTCTCTCTCTCTCCCTCTCTTTCTCTCCTTGTCTCCCCATTGGCCCCCCTGTGATCTTCTGCGTTTCAGCGCCAAACAACTTGCGTGAGACCCGCGACAAAGCCGTCCGACAGCGAATCGACGTCTCTGGCAGGTTTCGAGACGATCCCAAGCAAGCAGTAACAAGAGGTAACCTCAAACCAAACATGGTTGTTGAGTCTGGCGCGGTTTCGCGCGCGCTTCAACAGCGTAAACAAGGGTTAACATCAAATCAACATATGGTTTCGAGCATGTTTCGCTTCCGCGCGCGTCTGTCGTTGTGTTCCTATATGGAAGTATAAGCAACACATGCCGACGACGAATCAAGGCGTCTGGCGGGGGACAAAACAAACCCAGATATGCAGAAACACGATTTAGCATCAAACCGAACACTGTTTTTGGTCATTCGCTCTTTCGCGCGTGCCTGTCGTTGCAACCCTAGTGGAACATCATGTCGAACGTCGCCGAAGACGAAACAAGGTGTTTTGGCAGGCGCCATAACAAACCCTGACAGTTATAAACAAGGGGTAGCCCCAAACCAAAACTGGTTCTGACCACGTTGCGTTTTCGCGCGCGTCTGTCAGTGTGCCCCATAAGAAAATGAAAGCAAACACTGTCTGATGACGAAGCCGGGTGTCTAGCAGACACCAAGGGGAAAACAGAGAATCATAAACAAGGCTTAACATCAAACCAACAATTGTTTTCAACGGGTCGCTCTTTCGCGCGCGTTTGTCCTTGCAGCCCTATATGAACAGTCGTATCGACATCTTCCGTCGACGAAGCAAAGTGTCGGGCAAGCGCCAGAACAAGCCCAAACAATCATAAACAATGGTTAGTCTCCAACCAAAAGTTGTTTTCGATCATGTTGTGCTTCTGCGCAGGTCAGTCGTTGTGCCCCCGATAGGAAAGCGAAAACAAAACGCCCCTACGACGATGCCACGAGTATGACAGGCACCAAAAACAAACCCAAACAAGCATGAACACGGTTCAACATTAAATGAAACATTAGTTTCAACATGTGCTTTTGGATTCGAATTGGATTCTAAGTTCAATAGGGAGATAGCGGATCCCACATCCAGAGGACTGTTATCTGCATTACAATTAAATTCCAATGGTATTCCAATAGAAATGGGACGGGTTCCGTATCCAGTGAATTTCTATTGGAACCTAATTGGGTTCTACTAAAATTACAATTGGAAAAGTGCGGATCCCAGATCCAGAGGATTTCTATTTGAATTTTCATTAGATCCAGAGGATTCCTATTGGAATCTAATTAAATGTTAATATGATTTCAATAGGAAGATAGCGGATCCCAGATCCAGAGAATTTCTATTTGGATTCTAATTAGATTCCAGTTGGATTTCAATAGAAATGGGACGGGTTCCGTATCCAGAGGATTTCTATTGGGATCTTATTAGATTCTCATAGGATTTCAATAGGAAGGGAGCGGATCCCAGATCCAGTGGATTTCTTTTTAGAATCTAATTAGATTCGAATTGGATTTCAATAGAAACGGCACTGATTCCGCATCCAGAGGATTTTTGTTGGAATCTAATTGGATATTAAATAGAAAAGCTGTGTTTCCCAATGTTTGTTTATACAAATCAATAAAAACGCATTGTTTTTCAATCTTTTCATTTGGGAAGTAATAAAAACGCTGTGTTTTCCAGCTTTTTAAAATAAAATGAATAAAAACGGAATGTTTTCCAATGTTTTAATTTGGAAATGAATAAAAACTGTATGTGTTCCAGCTTTTCAAAACAAAAATAAATAAAAACACTGTGTTTCAATCTTTTTATTTGAAAATTAATAAAAACGCTGTGTTTTCCAGCTTTTTGAAATAAAAAACAATAAAAACGGTGTGTTTTACATCGTTTCGTGAGGGAATATGATGAAAACGCTATGTTTTCTTTACTTTTTAAATGCGGGCGTGCTGAAACCTTGTGTTTTTACAAGTTTCTGGCAACCGCGATCAATAAACCATTGTGTTTTACAGCGTTTGGGCGCTCTGAGGCAGCCAAAACCTGTGTTTTGCAGCCTCCGAACATTTGAAAACAGGTTTTCCTAATGTTTTCCAATAATTCGAATTATTTCCAATATTTTCCAATAACAACGCTGTGTTTTCCAATTTTCCAATACTTTTGAAGGTTTCGGGCTCCGTGGCTGGTGGGTGGGCGGCGGGCGGCTGGAAAATTCAAAATAATTGGAAAACGCAGCGTTTTCCAATTGTTTCAAATGAAAATCAATGAAAACGCAATGTTTTCAAATTTTTTACAATAAAATAATTGGAAAACGCTGTGTTTTCAAATTTTTTACACCAAAATAATTGGAACACGCTGTGTTTTCCAATTTTTTATCACAGAAATCAATGAAAACCTTGCGTTTTCCAATTATTTTGAATTTTCCAGCCGCCCGCCGCCCGCCCACCAGCTCTGGAGCCCGAAACCTTCAAAAGTATTGGAAAATTAGAAAACACAGCGTTTTTATTAGAAAATATTGGAAAATAATTTGAATTATTAGAAAACATTAGGAAAACCTGTTTTCAAATGTTCGGAGGCTGCAAAACACATGTTTTGGCTGCCTCAGAGCGCCCAAACGCTGTAAAACACAATGGTTTATTGATCGCGGTTGCCAGAAACTTGTAAAAACACAAGGTTTCAGCACGCCCGCATTTAAAAAGTAAAGAAAACACAACGTTTTTATTAGATTCCTACACGAAACGTTGTAAAACACAGCGTTTTTATTGCTCTTTATTTAGAAAAGCTGGAAAACATAACGTTTTCATTAATTTCAAAATAAAAACATTGGAAAACACAGCGTTGTATTGTTTTTTTATTGAAAAAAAAAAGAAAACACAATTTTTTCTAAATAAAAAAGATTGGAAAACACAGCGTTTTTATTGTTTCTTATTTTAAAACAGCTGGAAAACAAACAGTTTTTATTAATTTCCAAATGAAAAGATATGACAACACAATGTTGTTATTGCTTTTATTATAAAAATGGAAAACACAGCATTTTTATTAGTTTCCAAATAAAGAGATTGGACAACACAGCGTTTTTGTTGTCTTTATTTTAAAAAAGCTGGAAACCACATCGTTTTTGTTAATTTCCGAATGAAAAGATTGCGCAACGCAGCGGTTTTTTTATATTTATTTTTATTTAAAAAGCTGGAACACACAGCGTGTTTATTTAATTTGAATTGAAAAAGCTTGAAAACACAGCGTCTATTAGAATTCAATTAGATTTCAATCGAAATCTTCTGGATGCGGAATCAGTCCCGTTTCTATTGAAATCCAATTGGAATCTAATTAGATTCTAAATAGAAATCCTCTGGATCTGGGATCCGCTCCCTTCCTATTGAAATCCTATTCAAACCCAATTAGATTCCAATAGAAATCTTCTGGATGCGGAATCCGTCCCGTTTCTATTGAAATCCAATTGGAATCTAATTAGATTCTAAATAGAAGTCCTCTGGATCTGGGATCCGCTCCCTTCCTATTGAAATCCTATTCAAACCTAATTAGATTCCAATAGAAATTCCCTGGATGCGGAATCCGTCCCATTTCTATTGAAATCCAATTGAATCTGATTAGATTCTGAATAGAAATCCTCTGGATCGGGGATCCGCTCCCTTCTTATTGAAATCCTATTCAAATCCAATTAGATTCCAATATAAATTCTCTCGATGCGGAATCCGTCGCATTTCTATTGAAAACCAATTGGAATCTAGTTAGAATCCACATAGAAATCCCCTGGATCTGAGATCCGCTCTCTTCCTATCGAAAACCTATTAGAATCCAATTCGATTCCAATATTGCAATTGATGCGGATGCACAATTCGATTCCAATGAAAACACACAAGCCACCTACACAAAGATACCACCCTTACCCCCCCCCCCCCCCCCCCCCCCCCAGCCGTTGGCAGACTCGCCTTTCGGCCCCCGAGGACCGCGAGCCTGCCGCCGGGCGCGAGGACATGTTGGGGGCTGGGCTGGAACATGCGGGTGGCGAGGACGCCATGGGGGGTCACCTGGGTCTTTTTCCTCGACGTTTGCGGCGCCCTCATGGCCGCTGTTCTCCCCGCGGTGGATGTTGTCGCCAGCTCCTGAGTGTCCAGCTCCACGCGGCGACTCGACCCTGAGGTGCCCCGCGAATTCGGGGCTTTCTCAGGACGTCGCGCCCTAACACCTTCAGCGCAACGGGGCGATCTCGAGCCTGCGGCGTTCCCTCTCGCGGGGGCCCACGGGGGCCCCCATCAGGACTTGGGCCCTCAGCCCTGTCGACGTAGTCCGCCGGGTCGCCGTAGCGCGGGCCCTGCCGCTCTTCGGGAACCAGTTGTTGTCGTGGCGTTTGCCAAGATTCCTGCCTGTCAAGGTCGCGGCATCTGCCGCGCCGGTCGGCGATGACACGCGATGGCCCCCGCCTCGCCACTCGAAAGTCCCATCTTGATACGATCATGGAGTCGATGGCCTCGGCGATGGCAGTCTCGCGCTTGTCCTCGGCGGCTTCGGAGATGGAGATGAAGTCGTCATCGCTGAGTCGGTTGCTGGCGATCACTGCGACCTTTCCGAAAACTGGATGGCTCGCGGCGCACTCCTTGACATCGTCGCTGTCGGCGACGCGCCGCGCTCCAGGTAGCTCCAGCAAGTGGGGCCTTCCACCGCGAGCGCTTGCGAACCTTCGTGGACGGCGATCGTCGGGATGTCGGACTCGGCTGCGAAGTCCCCGACGATGGCGATGCACTCGCGGATTATATTGGCGCTCTTCTCGGAGAGGTCGTTCTTCCCCAAAGTGCCGAACTTGCGCGGTGTCTCGTGGCTCTGCACGCCCCGGGGTCGCTGAGGTCGCGCGCGCACCAGGTTCGTCTTGGGATCTCTGCGTAGATGGCCGCGATCGTGCCGTCTGGTATAAGACCTCGAACCTGCCCGAGTTGTTAACTGTTCGCTGGTTGTTAATTCCTATCAGTACGTAGTCCAAGTCGCTAGTGGCCGCACTGGTTGCGTCGGCCACGACGTGGAGGACGTCGCCTGGGCAGCTCGGAATGTCAGCGATGCTGATGACAATTTGTCGGTTAGCTGCTCGGGGCTTGCTTATGGCGACCTTCCTTAGCGCGTTCGCTTGGATCGTGGCGTAGACCTTGGGCTCGACAGGCGACGCTTCAAGCAAAGGCAGCGGGGCGCTATCCGTCTTGTAGGCAGGTACTTCGCAGAGGGTAACAGGTCGCCCTTGCTTTCCGTTGTGCTCAGTGGTCGCGGTGATGGCCTCGTTGTTGTCGATAATCTGCTGCTCTGTGAGCGGCTGCTGCGTCATGCGGCTCCAGGCGTACCATGCCTTGCGGTATCCGTGCGCGATGGTCAGGTGCTTGACGAGGCGCGGGAAGGTGTGAAACTCCTTGTGGCAACTTCTGCACGCGGCGCCCGTGGCCCATTTCCCACGGTTTGTTTCGTCATTATGGCCCCTTTCCAGCGGACTGCCTTGCCCTGCTTCGTCTGGGTGGTTCCCCCGCACAAGTAGCATGCGTAGTTGAAGGGGGATGGCGTCGTCGGTCGAAGCTGCGTCTTGGGCTGTGGTAGTCATATTGAGGTCTTCAATCAGCTTCCCGTGCTGAGCTAGGTCTCGGATGTAATTGACTTATGCCTTTGTTGCTGTCTTAACTGCATTGGTCAACTCATTGGGCCGTTCCCATCGCCCATGAAATTATGTCATCGTCTCGCTCTCTCTTGTCGGGCGGTAAGTGCTTGCGGAGGAAGGCGAAATCCTGTTGGAGCTGAAAACTCCAAGTGCTTTTGCGCTGTCGTTGGGCGTCAACTAGCTTGAGGAAACCAGCGGGTCCGTGCTGGAGTAGGCGAGGTAGGTGCCGCAATCGTGCGGCAATCTGGTGCATGTCCTTCTTGGCGAGGCGGTTCCAAACGCGGCGATTGTGGGCGAGGGATGAGGTGGGCAGGGCGTTGACGTACTTCATCTTGACTTTCTGTGAGAACTCCTTTCTTCGGAGAATTTTGAAGGGGCCCTGGGACACACAAATAAATACACACAAATAAAAAGATGCTCCATATTTCCCCATATTTTCTGGGTTTTTGTCTTCCCGCCCAATTCCCATATTTTCTTATATTTTCTAGTGAATCGACGATTAATTGTGTCTGTGTTTTTCCCCTCCTGAGATTTGCTTCTCGCGAGGTCGCTCGACGCCCATGCTGCGGTCAACTCTCAATCTTACCTCGGGGCCCATGACCCCGCCGGCCGTGCAGATGGTGCCGAGGGCCTCTTGTTGGGTCACCGGGTGGATCTTAATGTTGAGACTGTCAAGCTCGATGTAATTAATCTCCTCTTTGGCGATCCTCTGGCGCTCTTTTCTTGCTCCGCTGCCGCAGTGCATGAGGATGGCATTGGTTTTCTCCGGGCGGGGCTTGAGGCCGTGCTGGCGCGCAGAGCCTGGTGGCCGGTAGTCGGGTGGCGCCAAGCAGTGCCTTGGCCGTCTCGGTCGAGTTGTAGTCGGCGAGGTCGCCGACGAAGGACATGTTTCTGAGCGTAGTCCCCTGGTGGGGTGCTGCAGAGAAGAGCGGGACGTCGCACGCCTCAGTCTCGTGTCCGCCTGAATGATGACCGTTTTCTGTCGGTGTTGATGCAGCTTGTTCGATCGCTTCCAGCATAATGGATTAATATGTTGGGTTGACGCCGATCTTACGCGAGATGGCATCTAGCAACCTTACGCAGTTCCTTACGCGAGCCGCCATCGCGGCACGCCACGTTGGAGACCAAGGCGCTCACGCGCGACCTTACGCGAGCAGCTTACGCGAGAATGTCGGCGCAGCCGACACAGTTTTCTGTCGTCGCTCAAATGGCGTCTGAGCGGATGGTGCTGGAGTATCGAGCAACAACGCAAATGCATGCGCGATGCATAGGTGCCATCGACGACGTCGGCGTGGAGAAAATCGGGCTCCACGTCGAGCCGTGTCAGCGATGAATCGGCGATACGGCACGATCCTCCGACCCCATCTACTCGGAGCCAATTTGGAAGCCTGGAGGTCTGAACAGGACTTCGCGGCGAATCCAGCCGTGGCGAAGACGGAAAGGTAGCGGCTTCGGCATCTTCCCACATCTCCAATGGACTTCCAAGGTCTTGATCTGTTCAATGCGGAGCTCCCCACCCTTTCCCTAGGACTGGCTTTCCGCCCTGAGTCATTCTTTGACGGGCTCGGGGCCCGGCTGGGGCCCCCAGATGCCGAAATCGGTGAAAAGCCTTCCTCCTCCTCCTCCTCCTCCTCCTCTTCCTCCTCCTCCTCCTCCTCTTCCTCCTCCTCCTCCTCCTCCTCCTCCTCCTCCTCCTCCTCTTCCTCCTCCTCCTCCTGCTCCTCCTCATCCTTGATCCTTGCCAATGCGTTGGAGGTCTGGGTTTGGCGCCGCCCAACCCGCGCGCGGCTTGCGCGTGGCTACATATGGGGGTCGACAAACCACGTGGCCAAGACACGTGCCCGTCTCGTGCGCATCTTGGGCCCCAGGGGGGTTTCTGTGGGGGCCCACGCGGCGCACAAGAGCGACACCTCTTCTCCCACCCATGAAGCATTCGAAGATTAGACACCTACTTTCTTAGGGGGCAAACAAACCTACCTCGCTTTTGACCACCCTCGCTTCCAAGAGATACCAAGCGAGGCCAAACTACGGCATGTACTGGTCAGGCCGCTTGACGAGGAGGCGTATGGTATGACTTGGTTTTGCCTGGAAGCGAAAGCGGGGTAGGTAATTCACGCTCTGATTTCTCCGAGGTCCGCTCTGACCCCAGAGTTCTCGACCCCTTCCCCAGGACCGGTTTGTCATCCTGAATCGTTTTTTGACGCTCCCGAGGCCCAGTGAGGGCCCCCAGAGGCCGAAAATGGCGAAAAACCTCCCGTCATGATTTTTTCATTACTCGAGGGGGTCTGGGTTCGAAGATTAGACACCTACTTTCTCCGAGGTCCGCGCGAATCTCTTGGGTCGGCGCTGGACCCCCCACCCCCTGCCCTGGGGGCGGCGCCGGAGGCGCCGAGCAGGGGGGCCGAACGTCGCTCCAGGAGATCCGCGCGGAGTCCCCGGAAGTTCCCCAAGGATGTGCCCTGGACTGATCAAAAAAACACATAAGTTCAAACTAGTAGTTAATACACTGAATAAATTTAAAAAATTTGAATTTACAGTGGAAAACCCAAATAAACAATGTAAAATCTGAATAAACAATAGAAAATCATAATGTTTGAATTTCCGGTTAAAAATCTCACTGGCGAATAGACTTCCTTCCCTACAGGATCCTTGAATCATGCTAAATCGGAAGCCGGGCAAGGGCTGCTAAATCCGTGGCTGCTGAAATCGACCTCCGGGAAGTTGTCTTCGTCCTTCCGGGAAGAAGCCCGTGGACTGTTTCGCGTGCCGCGCCTCATTCCGGGAAGCCGCTTTTTCCTTCCGGGACGGCCGTTTTAGCAGCCACGGTTTTAGCAGCCCTCGCCCAGCTTCCGATCTTTCGTCGTCAACAGAACTGCGGCACCCGAGGCATCTGCCGGCTTTGCCGATGTGGTTGTTGTGCATGCCGTCGTTGTCGTGCATGTGGTTATGCTGCTGTCTGGATTGGGTGCTGCTGCTTTGCTGGTGAAGCTGCCACTGAAGCGGCCGCTGCTTGTGGTTGTGAAGGTGTCGCTTCTCCTGCTTGTGGTTGTGACTGCTGGCCGAGGTTGAATGGTTGGAAAGACGCTGCTTCTCCTGTTTATGGTTGTGATTGCTCGTGGTTGTAAAGATGTTTGAAGGGGCCCCAGGACACACAAATAAATACACACAAAGAAAACGATTCCCCATATTTTCCCATATTTTTAGAATGTGTGTCTTCCCCCATTCTTCCCATATTTTCCCATAGTTTCCTGGGAGTGGACGATTAACTGTGTCTGTGTGTTTTTTCCCCTCCTGAAGATGTTGCTTCTCCTGTTTCTGGCTGTGATTGCTCGTGGCTGCAGAGATGCTGCTGCCCCTGTCCATGGCCGTCGGCCGCGCGCCGAGGCCCTCGAGCTGCCGAGCGGCGGGCTGGTTGGGCTCTGCCGGCCCCGCGGGCCGGCGGGGGGCCAGGCGCCCCGGGCTCCCCCGAAGAGCGGCTGCCCTCGCGGGGCGGTGGAGCCCTGGATCCTCCTCCTCCTCCTCCTCCTCCTCCTCCTCCACCTCCTCCTCCTCCTCCTCCTCCTCCTCCTCCTCCTCCACCTCCTCCTCCTCCTCCTCCTCCTCCTCCTCCTCCTCCTCCTCCTCCTCCTCCCCAGGAGTCCCTGGTGCCGAACCTGGGCCAGGCGCCCTGGGCTCCCCCGAAGAGCCCTGCCCCTCCCTCGGCGGTGGACAAGCCTCCCTTTAATAAACCTCCCCTTGGTGAAAACGGCCCGGGACCGAAAACGGCAACGACGGGCATGGAACCGCAAAAATGACGGCCGCGACGCCCTCTCGCGAACCGAAAACGGCCAATCCCTTAATCGACGTGTCAGGGTAGGAGGTCTGTCCACCCCCGATTCCTCTGGCCATCGCTCGGACGTCCATTCCCTGCGCCTTTTTCGGTTTCGTGCGTGACTTTCTCGCCAAATGATCAAAGGGTGCTCCTCGATGGTCCTCGCCGAAACAAGAATGCACACGTCCGAGCGATGCCAAGTCCTGGTGGCACCGTGATGGCGCCCGTGCTGGTGGGCCGGAGGCTGCTGCCAGCCCTGTGGGCCAGCTGTGGAACGGGCGCTTTGGCTCTCCGAACACGGCGACCCTCCCGAGGTCCAGCTGTGGGCCAGGCGCCCTGGCTCCTCGCGCAGTGCACATACTTGGGGTCGACATTGAGGCAATTCGCCCGCCCCCCTGATTAGAGGTTTCCCAAGTGGGGTCGGAACGGGTGGGGTGGGAGGATCGCGCCGCATCGTCGACGCATCTCATGCGCACCGACGCATCGGCGACGCCGGCGTGAAGAACATCGGGCTCCACAGCAAGCCGCCTCGGCGATGCGTCGGCGACGCAAGGCGACCATCCGACCCCATCCATTCGGACCCCAGCCGGGAGGCCCAGGGCCTAGACTGAGGTCGGGCCTGTCCCCCTACAGGAGGATCTTGGACGAAAAATAAAACAAGTGGCACGTGTGCCATAGCCCTTGCACAAAAAGGAAGGAGGAGGAGGAGGAGGAGGAGGAGGAGGAGGAGGAGGAGGAGGAGGAGGAGGAGGAGGAGGAGGAGGTGGAGGAGGAGGGGGGAAGAGGGGGCAAGGCATCGCCCTCTGGGCCCAGCAACGGGGCCCAAGTCCCAGGTGGGGAGGGTGGGGGAGGCGGCGTGCGTCGCGACGCGGAATAAAGTGCTCGGAGCGGAGGGAGCACGGGGCGGAGGTCCCACTGG